CCTTTTCCCCTTACGAATCCTGGCAACCTCATCAAGAAGGCAATTTTACTTTAATGTTACGATACAAAGAAAAATATACTGTGGCATTCCCATTTCAGTGCCAACAGTGAAGGAAGTGCCATTCTCCTCCTGTTTACAAGACAGCCACCAGGTAATAAGCAGTCTGGAGGATTATGCAGCACGAAAGCCACCCTGCGAGAAAGCATGAAGGTTTATTTTATTTTCCTTGCTTCCTACCACTGACAAAACATTTTTAAAGAATTGTCCCTCAACCTACCCAGTTACCTGCATTTTTCCTCTTAACACTTTTTGCTAGTTTGTGCTCCTTCCTTTACCAAGTCTGCCACTTCGTTTTTTTCAGTTCTAAGTAATTAAGACAACAAGAAAGCAGCACTTGAATTATGGTCATCACAGTAACCTACACCACATAGGTGTAACATCTACCGCAAACTAACTCAGTTGAACTGTGTGCAAGAGGCAATACCAACCTTACTGGGCCTTTCCTCCTGGAAACTTGCAGTGGGAACATCCAGCTTTGCAAGCTGGACCTTCTTCCCCAGGAGCAGGCAAATGCAGTGCAAGCTCCTTCCTCCAAACCAGGAACAAAGAATGATGTTATTTCCTATGGCTGGCTCTGGGAGAAGTACAGAGCAACATCAAATCATAGCAGGAGAAACATTTCAGTTATTTACTAATATTTTATTTAAAAATTTATTACAAAATATTTTAGAAAGCTCTTCAGACCAAAAAAGCATAATACATTAAAAAGGACCACAGGTTTAGAATGGAAAAATAGTTAAGCATTTCAAAATTATTTCAAAGGAAATTTATGCCACACTGGCAACAAAACTGTATAAATTTTTTATTTTTTATATATAAACCCACTGTATTATCATCCTAATTTAATAATCATTAAAAGTCACTTATATTCTAAAAAGTATTAAAAGTGATAGTTTTGACCAGCATAAAATTTACTGTTAAGAGAAGTGCTTATGTTGACAGCAATAGCCTAAAACAAAGATGAATTTCCATCTTAAAGGCACTACGAGCATCTTGATTTGTTACAATTTTATAGAACCATTCAAAAATTTCACAAAGTACTTCTCTCTCTTCAGTGTAGAAAGCTCAGTATTTTTATTGCACAAATTTGAGCAAGGATCACTATCGTGGCCATTATGCAAAAACATCTCGTGCAGAGCTCAGAATTGTGTGAAATAACTCGGTGCTTTTTCAAGTTGGAAGATGCAAACGTAGAACTTGGTTGTAACAGACCACAAGCCTTCCCTGCTAGTTTTAAGCACAGAGTGCAAGTAGTAAGGTGCAAATCCTTCACACATTTAGAATCCAAAGAGTGCTGGTAACATTGTGATTTTAATATGGGCTAAACACAAAAATTAACATTCCCAATCTACACAATGCACATGCAGATCCTCAGAGGAGAAGTGCTCCATCTGGCCACTTTGCAAGTCCTCACATGTCCTGGAACATCTGCTGCACCGATTTTCAAGGCGCTGCAAACAAAGCCTGAAAGTGGGCGCGGGGCCTTTAAATATCTTTGGACAGGCTCAACTGGAAAAGACAAAAGTTTTTAATGTGTCTGAGCAGGCTGCAAACATCACTGCCAGGCAATCCCCAGGTAGACAGACTTAATGGGCCAGTTACTTCTTTCCACAAGTTTTTACTGCCAGTCAAGACTGTACAGAGATGGTTACTTTGCAAACGGAAGAAGAAATTTAAGACAATTGCTTGACATAGCTTTTCTGCCAGAGCTCCTACCGCTCTCCCAAACAATCCCCAATCCACTTCAGTCAAAACCAGCCACCTTAATGTAAGCAATTTAAATGTGTGGTTTAAAAGAAGTGGGCTGATTTCACCAGGAGCAGGCTGGGAAGCCAGCAGACTGCTTTGCTGACAGAGCACAGGAGGGGTAAGAGGCATCCAGCCACAAGCACCAAGCTCCTGCAAAACCAGATGTTTAATCTGGCTCCAACGCCGTTCTCTGGGATTGGTCTCATTAAAAGACAAGACACTCAACACCTGGATTGGACATCAGAAGCATCAAAGAGGGCATGTCAGGACTGCAGGAGACCAGCCTGCTCAGCTGTGGCAGCAAGGAAATGTCTCCCCCATCTCACCTGGGAGGGCAGGCCCCTTTATTTTAGCAAGCAACCTCACAGAAAGCAGAGAGCGGCACACACACCAGCAAACCTGCTCCTCAACTATTTTAAAACAGGATAAAAAGAACGCCTCATATTTCTAAGTCTGGGATTAACAGCACTACCACACAGAAACTGCTTTGTTAGCCAGCGACTGATTTGGAAGCAACAACTGAGCAACTGCCTTAAACCTAAAACCAATATGTGACTTGCCTGTAGTACTTAACTACTATGTGACAGATTAACGCCAGTTAAACAGCATCGGGAGTGGAGAAATACGTATCGACTGTGGGAACCTTCCTACCAGTAAGCTCCTGTGACACACAGGAAAACAACCAGTTTCCCCCAAAAGACTACTGTTTGTCGTTTCCCTCAGCTGATGGCAATGCCTGCATCCCTGTCAGTCAGAGAGGGAATCTGATCCTCAAATCTATATATGGATCAGTCGGTTGGTGAGAGAAAGGGCATAAGCCACCTACTTGAAACAGCTGAAATAAAACCAAAAAACCCTGCCAAAACCTCCTTACTAACAAGCCCAAACATGCCAGGGGTATAACTTGCTCTGCATTTCAGTTTCTCTGTGAAGTATCAGCAGTAGGTATCACAGATAGGGAAGCCAAGCCAGAGGGATGACTTCAGAGATCCTTTTTAGTACCAGTATCTCCCACTCAGGAATGGGCACCAATAACAAAGCACATGGGTGGGAAAAGTCTATACTAACAGCAACCAAAACCCTGAACTCTCTTCACGTATTCTCAAGCTGCAAAAAAATTACAAGAAAAATTACCTCAAGGTAGAAGTCCCAATACGGTGCTGCATTGCTTAACAAATTTCAGCAGCACATTGTTACTCTTACGCTGTATTTACAGCTTTTAATTATAGGTCAAGATTTAGAGACTACATTTTGATGTGAAAAAATTCAGTATAATCCTGGGTAATAAAAAACTAAAAAACCCCAAACCCTTAGAATGTTAATCATAGATATGGACATGATCTCCAAACTAAGGCATTGGAAATCATAGCAGAGCTACAGCAAGTTTCATATCACCGGTAACATTGCTTGTAAACAGAACGTCTCTCATCTACCCAGCTTTCAGAGGCAGCTACAGCAAGCTCTGTACACCTAGATCAAGATCAGATTTTAGTGCAAATGGACACTAATAAATAGTTTAAAAAAAACCCCCCACAACAGTACAAGAGCATTTCTTCTTCACAAAGCAGGAAGTTCTATGAAGGAAAGTATGTCTGTTATACACAGCTCTGAAACTGAGCTACAGCTTGAACTTGGTGCTTCACACCACCTGTCAAAATTTGACACCCTGCAAGCAAAGTGTAGTGTTAGGTTGAGAGCTCAGAGAGAGAATATCACAAACTCAAAATCATCAGGAAGTGGGAGCACTGGAAAAAAAAACACCAAAACACCTCTGACCTTCTTTTACAGTCCTTTGTCTTACAACAGCTTTCTCATCCTTTTCCAAACAGCTTTTCCAATTCTGGGAGGCTTAGCCTTGATGCCACACAACAGGTTACAGAACTATAAATTTATCAGACTAGGGTATTGGCAAGTTAATGCCTGGAAGACACGGCAAATGTCACAAGCACTCCAACAAGAACTAGCTTTGCATCATCAGCTTTTTCTCATTTGCTCTGGTATTTTGGAATATCTCCTGGTTTACAGCAATTTGCTCTGCTTTTGAAGGCTTTCCTCTTAAGTGAGGTCCAGCTGCCTTGCTTCTACGTCAGACATCTGAAAAACACCTTTTCACCACTTCATTCCTTTTACAGCCATCAACATCTGATCCGATATGTCTGACACACGTTGCATCAGTAGTGCTTCTTGCAGTCCTACAGCCTGTTGCTTTTAAGACAAATCAAGGGTACAGGTGCTTATTTACCTGTTTACCAACTGAGACAGTCAGTAGCAAGAGTCTTAAGCTACTGCCATATTTATAAAAAAAGAAACTAGTGTGGCCCATAACCCTTCTGTCAAACCTTACCATTAACTATGCATGAACAAGCTGCAGATGGCATTAACCTTGCAAGAAATATTCACCAGGAGAGCATCAACATGCTGCAACATATTTCTCACTGATGGTCAGATTGCTGCTTTTGGGGCTACTGCATGAAAATATTTATTCATCATTTTTCCTCTCACAGCTGATTTTTTAAGTTTCTTCCTGCTTGCATAGCTTTTGGAACAACCTGAGAAATAATTCTGGCATACAAGTCTCAACTTTGACAATCATGGGGTGCAAAACTGTCTACTTAATATACCATGACATTACTCTCCCCATAAAACCCCTACATTTGCTATTCCATTAAACTGATCTCCACAGATACAACCAAAACATGTGAATAGTAGAAGCTAACCAAGAAAGCTTACTTAAGTATAAGCATTTCTGTAAGGCCCCAGTTAAGTATCCCTTTTATATTCACAGTTTGACAAGCAAGTACAAGAATGAATTCTGCTGTACTAATTTATAACTTGTAACAGAAGCATTTGGTCCATTTATACAGAAAATATCTTTAGGGCATAGCTCAGAATGTATGCATCACATATTAACCTTTATTGTCAAAATCAAATCAGCAGTGTTGTTACTTGATTTAGACACATTTTTTTAGCATATGTCACTTGGGCAGGTGGCAGGACCAGTTATTAAGTAGGACCAGTTACCTTGGAAAACGATGCTTGAGGTGCCATGACCCGACCCAAGGATCTACAAAAATCTGTGATGAGTGACGCGTAGAAAATTGATGAGAAGAGACAGAAGTTGTTACCTACAGTGCACTGAAAAGTTCACTTTTGTTTGCTCCATTCAAAAGAAATTAAGTAATTCCAGCAAGTTAGCTTTGTTTATTCAGTGGCTGGTTTTCTGTGGCACTCTGAGTGGTGCCAGGATTTTCAGGGCATCCACTGACGTTTTGTTGTTTCCGACTGTGAAAATACTCTATAATAATTTCAGCTAAAAAGGCACCACTTGAAAAAAATCCAAATGCCTGTAAAAGTGAAGGAAATGTATGACGTTAAATGTACAAACATTAACAGTGTTCTAACATTGTCTGTAGAGATGTGCTCATCTATTTGCTTATATTAAGGCTAATAGATGAAGCTCCCAGTCCTCCTTAAATTGGTGGTTCTATTTAAACTAGAAACAGATCAAAAATTATAATTGTAGCACAATTAACACAAAAGCTTTTACAGTTCTCATTCTCTTAATCAAATGTGAACCGTACAATATGTTCTAAGCAGCTCTTAACAGGCAGGGTATATTCATTTTATTGCAAAAATTAAAGAAGCATGCATTAGTGGTTTAACAGAATATTTACCCAAGGGATGGCTGCTGATTGAAGAGACTACGTGAACAAGAGTAACACACAGAAGGTCAAGAGAGATAAGATCTACAGAGTGTAAGCAAGTCTTTACTGGGTCAGCAAGGGGGGATGACTTTTCCTTAATGACATTACATTATTAGTCATCATAACATAATGATAAGGAGAAGGTTGGTTTTAGCAACTCCAGGAAAAAACCAAAACAAACCCTGAAAGACTTCATACTCAAAACATTAGGTTTGAATATATCAGTATCACAGATGGCTACACAAAGTGTGTATTCTCCAACAGCTCATGCTGCCTGTGGAACAGAATTACTTTGCTTTCTTTTCTAACTCATTTTTTCTCATTCAAGAATAATATCAGAATTTGAGCTTTCAAACTCACATATTCACATATTGCAATGTTATTCAAAAGAAGTGCCAAATGCGTGAGGGATTACAACATCCACAGCATCCCAGAGCCTCTTCAGTGCCTTGTCCTGAGCTTCTTCAGTGTTCCTGAGAAGATGCGTGCCCCACTGCTCTTCTAACTATTTCTGTCCTTGAGGAAACTGAACTGCTGCTCTTACTGCAAGCCTTTGCAAGCATTCTCAACATATGCTTTATAATGCCTGGCAAAAGACATGGTTTCTTGCTGACTTTGCAAGGGGGCAGCATTATGAAAGGACCGGTTAGCTCAGTGGTTTGAGCACGGTGCTGGCAATAAGAATCAACACTGAGGTGGTGGGTTTGATTCCTGCTCGGTCCCCATGTGTTGCCAGGTCTAGTCGAGAGGTGGCGTCCCTGCCCAAAACAGGAAGGTTGGACTAGATGATCTCTAAGGTCCCTTCCAGCCTAGGCCGTTCTATGATTCTATGATGACAATTGAGGAGAAAAGTCAGCATTTCAGAGGTGAAAATATCAGAGAACTGGGGAAGCTGGGAGAGGTGTCAACATGCAAATGGTGACAGATGACAGAGATACAGAGCCAAGACAGTGAAGTCCGAGGAACCCAGAAGCAAGCCACAAACTCTGGGGAGCTGCATGTGCGTCCAGAGCTTCCCAGCATTCCTGAAGAATGTCTGCTCTTTGGATTGCCTACAGCAAGTTTCTGGAAAGTCTGAAATAGCTAGTTCCTCCCAAAATATCACAGTGCACTGAATTCTTTTCCCTGCCCAATTTCTTCCCTGCAAATTGAGTGAAGTTTAGCAGGCAAAGAAATTAACATATAAGATAAAATCGCATAATTTACTCGGTATTTAAGACTTACACATGCAGCTTTTTCAATAGCAGACCCAGCACTGGTCACAGCTAACACTATTGATGCCAGCAGAAAAAAGCCACCTATGGCTGCCATAGCCCAAAAGTTCTGCAAATATATTAAAAAAAAAAGACATTATAAAATTGTAGATACAGTACCTGAAAAAGAACAAGCATTATAACAGCAGTTGAGTTAATCTGCCAGTGAACCTATGCTTTGAAACTTTGATGCTAATGGAAGCTTCAGAAAATAGATTTTACAACTGCTTTCCAAAGAGCATTCGCATTATCAACTATTCAAAAGAGTCTGCATTACATACTCTCCTGGTTTTGTCTTCTTTAAGTAATTCATTCATTTCACTTAAATTGTTTCACAGTTAAATTCAACCATGCTAGCATTATTCCCAACACAAAACATCTGGGAAATCAGAAACCGGTAAGCAGATGTGCTCACTCAAATCTCTTGCCACACTCCATTATCTGTACCTTCACATAAAAAAGAACTACTGTTTGCTCTGGAGACAAATAGGAAGGGACACTCATAAGACAGTGTAATATTCTTACTGACTTTACAGAGCAACTTTGTGCCACTGCTGGTTCTTCTGAAATACAAAAGCATAAACTGCAATAGTTATTACCAAAAAGGAGGTAGCCTACATCCAGTAGGAAAATAGATAGGGTAGATAGGCAAATTACAAGTATCAGGCTGGGGTAAACTGTGTTCTCTATACCCATATCTATGCAATGACTACATTGTAGCATTATTCTGCTTGAAAGACTTTCATAAGAATTCTAAAATCCTCCAAGTACCCGACCTGACAATTTTGGAAAAGCTGTCAATACAAAAGGGACTCTCTACACTTTGCTCATTTTTTTATAAGCTCCTTTAATCTCCCTTTCCAAAAGAGAAGGAGATTCATTCTACATAGCTTTTCTACTCCACAGTAGTTTTTAAGCATTTATAAGAAACGGTATGGTTTTTAAAAAACATTTCCTTACCACTCTCTGTACTTTATGTTCCCCAAACGTTTCATATATTTTAGTGCAATACACACACAGGATCAGGAGGCTCAAAAGAAAGGCACTGCAGCTTGTGAATTCAAAGAAGTAAAGTCCGCCACACTTGATACAATCCTCCACAATTTCTTCACAAATGACAGCCAGAAGAGAGAGAATCTACAAACAAATAACAGGCTTGAGTTGGAATCAAGTCTTCAATACCTTCAGCAAACAGACATTTCCGATACAAACGTTAATTCGTAAAGACAACTGTAAGGAAAATCCTCAATCTGCAACAAACCCAATAAAATTCTGCACAGTTTTCTTATAGGTAGAAATAATTAAATAGTGACATGGTTTACACTTGCTGTCAAAGTTGGTCCATAAACTGCACTCAGGTGAGCTGATCACACCCTGCCAAATACAGGCTTCCTGATCAGAGCGTCAAGATTCCCGATTCGTGGTTTTCTGTGGTTGCCAGATGGAAGGAGACAAGGCGGGTGGCAACAAGCTCAGAACAAGCAAAAAGGTTATTGCTTACTACTTCCAACTGCGCTTAATTTTAAATGCACTTGGGGTCAGGGCAGGGGGAGAAACTGGAAAGCACTGACACCGTCAGCTACCTCCCTGAAAGTTTACAACTGATGTCACCTCCCTTGATAAAACTTCAGGAAAAGTGCCTGTAGGTGCATAGCTCATGCTTGTGACCCAGCAACAACAGAAGCTCAGCTGTACTTGTAAGAACAAAAATTTTAAACTATGTTTAAGCTGTGTTGGACAGTGTTTGATTATGCAGAAGCTCACGTTCACCTTCCTCTGACAATATGTTTAGAGGTAAGAATGGGAGCTAATTCCTATACAGTCACCATACATCTGCTGCTGGATCTTCTACTGCTTTATTGTACAAGAAAGAATATTGCTTTATTTAAATCTTCTCTCATTTTCACCACTTATTATTAGTTTCCTTCATCCCATAAAGTTGACACAGGCTTATAGATCCTTGTAGCAACTAGCCACAATCCTTGTAGCACCTACCAAATTAAAACACAGGAATCAGACTCGGTTGTAAAATTAAGACTGATACAAGGATGATGATCCCATTTTTAATAAAAGTATATGGCAATAATGAAGTTGACAGTTCTCCTTTAAAAAAAAAAAAAAATAAAAAATCTGTGCTTGGAAAATAACCGCCAGCCTTTGGTTTCAGTTTTCTGACCATAAAAATAAGAACAATTTAGCACGTGGGAACTGTAAATTCCCCCCACTAAGCCGGACCTTAGAAGGGCACTTCAAAGCATCATGTTTTGAAAACGCTGCCATCGTATAAAGTAAACAGGATCTCAGAAAGGGAAAAACCTGAGCTGGGAAACTGCAGTGGTACTATCAGGCCTTCACATAACTTCCCTCCTCTCTCGTAGCAGCTGGCGAAGCAAATGTCTCAGCGCCCTCACACCTAAACCAGTGACTGCAACGGCTGCCTTGAGGAAGATTTTGAACTCTTGAATTTCCAGTTTTTAAGGTTACAGCTGCATCCAGTGACTTTCACATTTTTCACAAGGTCTGCTAAAGTGTGAGATGCGTTTTCAGGTATAGTTCTAGCTCTTTTTATCAGCACTGAAAACCAAATACCATCAATTTCACCTGGGATGAAACAGAACAGAGAGGAAATGAACCTGTCCTTCAAAGAATTTATAAGACCAGGTAAGCATAATGTCATCTAAATAACTGAAAAAAATCCTCTCCACTGAGTGTACAAACACGCAGGAAAAAATTCCCACTCAAAGAGCAGCTATAAAGGGTTCAGCATCAAATAAATTAATCCAGTGCAGTCCTATGTGGGACTTGTCCAAGTCAATATTTAATTTTTTATTAATAAGCTGGATAACAAAATAGAGTCAAACATTAAAAAAGCTTGGCTTGAAGAACGATGATTAGTGTAACAACAGCACATTTATAAGCTGCCAGAGTTCTGCGTGGCACCAGGCTTGCTGGTTCCTGCAGGACAATCTATACCTTGCCATGTGTATGCACTGATTGCTTCAAAGGGAAAAGCATTTTTGAAGACACAGTTTTTAATTTTTAATATTTTGTTTTTAATTATTAGTCCTATCTGTCTGTACATACACCAGAAATTAAAACATCTTCATCTGTCCCTTACCAGCAAGAAGTTATTCACTGACACTGACATTACTGTTTGAAGTGTCTACATGAGTGTCAAGTTTCTAAAGTAGATTTACTAAGTGAAAGGCTACTAAAGAATATCACAAAAATAAAGCGCATAAATGAACTTTCTAACAGGCCTGTGAAAACACTCAGCAGCAGTATTCCCAGTGCAAAATCTTCTAATTCAGACAGGTGCACGTATTAATTCTGTAAGTGTCCACAATCAGGGCTACTATTAGAAGTGAACTGCTTAGAAAAAAAGGAGAGGTTTCAGACTGAATTACAATTTTCTTTCTCCGTGCTGTGGCACTTACCTTCACGTAGAATTTGAATCAATCATGGACTAAGAAAAACATTCCACCTATATACATATAAAGAAACAAACCTAGAAACCCATGCAGTAAGCATTCCTCCCAGCATCCTTTTGGCAGTTACATTTGCCTTATTTCATTTGTCCAAAAAGCTTTATGAAATATGCTAAGATTACAACTGATGCCATTATTAATGAGAAGAAAACCATCTCTAAGGTCTAGAAACCAGTTTCCTGCAGGTCATTGTACAGTATTTTGTAAAACACTTGATCATTTCTGCAACGAAGACAGCTGATTTTCTGACTGCAACACCCTATTTAGCAGTTCCCATGAGTGATTATCAGTGCATAATCCCAATAATGACCACTAGTGTAACACAAGGCTAATAAATGTTACAAGGCTAACATGTTAATGACCATCACTGGCATTTCCAAAAATCAACACTATTTTAGTTGGAGCACGAGACAGCAGATCTTACTTTACCAGTCTCCAATAGATGAATTTTACTTATTTAAAGCATCCTGGGATGTGATCTTTTTAAACACTCTTAGAACTAAGAGATTTTTGGCAGTGTTACCATTGCCTTTACCAGGACTCAAGAACCTTATATTTCTGCCTGATTGTTTTGACTGCGTGCAAGTTTAAAGACAAAACATCCGCTTTTCTGTAACGGTGAAGTAACAAGAAAGGGTTGGAAATCACCTACAATTCCCATAAGCATAAGACATCTGACTAAAAAAGCCACTTTGCTGGCTGGAAAACACACGCTGACACACATTTACAGTCAGCTGCCCTCTCCCACTGCTGGTTTCACTACCTCCCTGCCAGTAAGAACGATGCTCCTCGTGTCCTTATCGGTGGTCGCACTGGCACGGTCGTGAGAGCCCGTCCTCGAGCACAGAGCGAACAGGAGTCTGAATCGTGAGCCCAACTGCTGAATGCTTTCAGGAATAACGTTACACGTAGCAAAAAAAGCAAGCAGAATATCAACTTTTTCGTTTCCTGGTCGGCACAGAAGTGCCCAACATGAAGAAGTGAGGCATTGTGATGATGTCTCATACACTGTCAATACCACACATTTGTGGGGCAATTTCCTACCACGAATCACACGAGAAACGAGTGCCCCTATTTTAGCACAAACGGCTGCAGGTGTGGCAGGAGAGGGAGGTCGAGATTTGATGACCCAGCAACCCTTTCCCAGTCCTACTGCCCTACCCTGAGGTTCTGCCTCCTGTTTTCATCCAGTGTGGACTCAGAAGAAAAGACGAAGTCTCCTGTGAGGCTTCCCTCCAATTTGAAGCCATAGCAGCAGCAGGCGGCTGAACC